GGGGGGGGGTATGTGTATGTAATGTTCTCTTTCGTTGCTATGGTCTGTAAGGGGGGCTTGTCTGTAAGGGAAGGGGGGTGGGGGTGGGGGGAGCCGCAAAACCTCGAACTTAAAACTTACACTCACTATTTTCTTCGAAAATATACGTGAGTTCCACAAAAACATCCATACATAAGTATTATATCAGTTTTGTACTTGGATCTGAGTAATAGTTAACTTATACAGTAACATCAGAGTGACTTTCGTATAAACAAGCACATACTTTGCTATATATTACAGAATAGTGTACTGTTCCGAGAAAATAAAATAGATCGTCCGTTTTGTTAATAAATGACTAACATAGAAATATAAAATAAAATGCCAGAAAAATAGTTTCCTTTCCATTTTATAATCATTCGATACTATATTAAATAGGCTTCTGAGTGATATAAAAATGACAATTTTATAAGTATTCCTTTTCTGTAATTATTTCATCAGTAATATCGAACGCATAATTTGCCGTCAATGAATATCTCTGAATGATTTCAATATACTGATTTTGGTTTTTTTCTTTGGATTTCTATTGATATGTCTTTTTGACCGTTGTAATATTTCTTTTTAAATATTCTTCAACTTTAATCTGTGCAACTTTTATTCTCATTCTTTACTCGCTTTCCACTAATAATTTCATTTACATTGATACCGATATCGGATTACTTTTACGAAATTAAGTATACAATTAAAACTGAAATACAGTCTGAATGATGAAAAATACAGAGTCGATCATCGAGTATATATTGGACGAAGCCTTATTATTTAAAGTTCTGTGAAAATTCCTATTGATATCATACTCATATTGAGAAAAGTATTTCTAAACTTGGGCTCAGTAGATGTTGATAAAAAAAACTCTTTTTTTTTCCAAAAACAACCATCAATTTTACAATTACACTCCAATATTCGTCAAATTTTTTTTACAAACGTTTCTGTTCCCGACAAAATGTTTTTTTCTTTTTCTTGTCTGGACATCTGTGAATTAAAACTGTCTGCTTTGTTTTTCTTCTTTTATTCATCATAAAATATAGGCATTTATTTATTTTCTAATAGAAAATCAGAACACTAGGTCTCTGTAGAGAAAATATTGGATCCAGTGGAGCACAACAAGTGGCGATTGAATTAATCAATAATACGGTGACTCTCTTTCTGTCTTTCATACATCTATTCCCACTGTTTTCACACAGGCACTTCTCATGGTAGACCTCCGTGAAAATCAAATTCGAGACGAAGGAGCACAATATCTTGCTAATGCATTAAAAAACAATAAGGTGATTTTCATTCCTTGTTTATTTCTCTTATAATTTCTATCTCTGATGTTTCACACAGACACTCGCCACACTACATCTGGCTAGAAATGATATTGGACCTGTCGGAGCAAATCATCTAGCTAATGCATTACCACATAACACAGTTATTCTCATTCTTTCTTTCTATTTTGCATGGTTCTATCTGGTTTTTACCTCATACAGGGACTCAAAACACTCCATCTGTCTGGAAATAGAATTGGAAACGAAGGAACACAACACATTGCTGCTGCATTACAAAAAAATACGGTGATTCTCATTGTCTCTTCATTTCTTTCATATACTCATAGCTACTTTTTTTTTTACAAAGACACTCAGAACACTCGATCTTTGGAACAATGAAATCGACGATGTCGGTGCTCAATGTTTAGCTGATGCATTACGAAATAATACGGTGATCCAGTTTTTGTTTTCCTTTTTCTCATATATCTATCGACTCTTTTTCACATAGACACTTGCTGCGCTCGATCTCTGTGGCAATAAGATCACAAATGGTGGAGCACAATATTTAGCTGATGCA